CCAATGGATTGCTCGTTCGGTGAGCAATCCATTAGTGGGGTCACACGTTCGGTTGGAGTCCCATTCAGCGACTCTGGAGCTCAAAAAGCGTCTAGAGTATTGGCCACCTCCACCGGTCTTCTGACCCACTGTGCAGCGGCCCAGCCAAAGCGGAAACGAAACGAAAGTGAATCCGTCGCAAGTTCGCCGCCGCCCTCTGGCTCGTCGCATTGTCTCTCGTCCGGTCAACTCACTCGCTGTCTCTGTCGCACTCGCAGGGCGCCCCGTACAGGTGCGAGAGAGACAGCGCAAGGCGCCGTGGCGCCACACCTCAAGCCGTTACAGTGCTGTTACCGTGTGCAGCCGAGCCGTCAAGACAGTTGGTGTCATTGAAAAGCAATATAAAGCTCTCTCTTTCCCGCACGTCCTTTACTGGTCCTTTCCCTTTCTAACGGACTTTTCTCGGTTCGTTGTCGAAACAGCGGGAAAATGGGAGCGAGTGGTCCAGAAGACCGGTGGGCACGGCCAAAATCCCGGACGCGTTTTGGGCTCCAGAGTCGCTAAATGGGACTCGAACCAAACGTGTGACCCCACCAATGGACTCCTCGTTCGGAGAGCTATCCATTGGTGGGGTCACACGTTCGGTTCGAGTCCCATTTAGCGACTGTGGAGCTCAAAACGCATCTGGAGTTTTGGCGCCCCCACCGGCCTTCTGGCCCACTGCGCTGGAGTGGTACCAGTGTAGTCACGACTTGACGCGCCGGGCCGGCCGGGCCGGACGGTGCGTGGGTGTCGGCCAGGCCGATGCTGGGCGTGGTTTAGAGCCGCCCGGGCGCGATTTCTCAATCAGCATCTAAGAGCGAATTTATTGTTACTGCGAAAGCGGCAAACAGCCCGCGGCCGGCGAGGGCTGCGAGGGCCTGCTGGAACCGAGGCTGGAACCCTGGAACGGAACGAGCCGCACGAGCGAGGAACGGCGGCGGCGGTGGCGGACGTACTTCTGGAGCAGGGCTGCCACATAAATAGGCTGAAAAGTCCCACAGTGCGCGTCAAAAAGGAATTCTCTCGGTGACGTCATATGCTTGATTCCAGTCCCTTTTAAAGAACGCGTCGAAAATTCCTCCTCGCAGTGCGCGGAGACTTGGACGCGCTGTCACACACAGAGGCCCTGCATCATCAAACAAAAACAACAACACAAACAACAGCAGTAGCGGGAACACAACTCCGAAAATCGAGTTTTGAACTTTGAACGGTGGACTGATCCGTTTCCCACGGGCCTCGTTCGGCATGCACTGCTTGGCCGTCTCCGGAGAAAGACGCCGCCAATTTTGACAAGGAAGACGGTCATCTCGTCTCCACGGCTCGACGGATGTTGGTCCCCACAGTGGGCCAGAAGACCGGTGGAGGCGGCCGAAACTCTAGACGCGTTTGGAGCTCCAGAGTCGCTATACGGGCCTCGAACCGAACGTGTGACCCCACCAATGGATTGCTCTCCGAACGAGGAATCCATTGGTGGGGTCACACGTCCGATTCGAGGCCTGCTCAGCGACTCTGGCGCTCAAAACGCGCACTGCAAACTGAATGGAAAGACATTACGCCAAAATGTGGCGAGACAAAAAGTCTCGCCACATTTTGGCGATACTTTCATGTCTCGCCACAATATGGTCAGATTCAAATGTCTCGCCAATTTATGGCGAGACTTTTTTGTCTCGCCAAAATATGGCCCAAAATTATTCAAATAGGGTAGGCAATGCATGGATTCATAGCAAAATACATAAACTACTGCATTATTCACAAAATTCACGAGAAATCATTTCTGATCACCACTGATAGTTGTTTGACCCACTGGGGACTCTCAAGAGTAACGCTGTTTGTTTCGCTCATAAACCAAGAGGTGCGTCTTCACATAACAGGGCCGCTCACATTCAGTTTCATTGAAATCAGATTGTACTCACAATAATCACAGTAGCACTGTGGCTATGAAGAAATTTGCAGGCAGGTTGAGAGTTGATTCATCCAATAAAGATTGTCTACAAACATGTAGCTTTGAGTACTGTACAACTTAGCCCAGAGAACAGATGGTGCAGACTGTTGATGAACTTAACATTTTGACAGTTCTCCTTTTTCACACGCAGTTTGACAATAGCTCGAACGATTAAAAGACATCTTCGCAAACAGATAACCCAGTTGGCAACAGTCGTCATTGCTCGAAACTAGGAAAAACTAAATTATATCGTTGCAAGTCAAACAATCGCTCAGAGGCTGGCAGCCATTTTAGAGGCTATGTTTTTGTTTTTGGACAGAAGAGGTTATGGGCAGTTATGGGCGTGACGATTTAGATTCAGATTCGGGTTGGGAAATTATACGCATGACCAAACCAGTATTCGCAGTCACATCCTCACATCTCGTAACAAAAGTAACCTGAGGAAATGGCCGCTGGTTATCATGTTTTCCTCCCGACTTTGCATCAATAAAATTAAGTTTTTTCTAGTTTGGAGCGATGACGACTGTTGCCAACTGGGTTATCTGTTCGCGAAGATGTCTTTTTATCGTTCGAGCTATTGTCAAACTGCGTGTGGAAAAGGATAATTGTCAAAATGTTTAGTTCATCAACAGTCTACACCATCTGTGCTCTGGACCAAGTTGTACAGTACTCACAGCTACATGTTTGTACACAATCTTTATTGGATGAATCAACTCTCAACCTGCCTGCAAATTTCTTCATAGCCACAGTGCTACTGTGATTATTGTGAGTACAATCTGATTTCAATGAAACTGAATGTGAGCGGCCCTGTTATGTGAAGACGCACCTCTTGGTTTATGAGCGAAACAAACAGCGTTACTCTTGAGAGTCCCCAGTGGGTCAAACAACTATGAGTGGTGATCAGAAATGTTTTCTTATGAATTTTGTGAATAATGCAGTAGTTTATCTATTTTGCCATGAATCCATGCATTGCCTACCCTATTCAATAATTTTGGGTCATATTTTGGCGAGACAAAAAAGTCTCGCCATAAATTGGCGAGACATTTGAATCTGACCATATTGTGGCGAGACATGAAAGTATCGCCAAAATGTGGCGAGACTTTTTGTCTCGCCTCTCCAGAGGCGTAAAGTCTGACCTTTGGATTTGTAGTGCGTCTGGCGTTTTGTCCGTCTCTGGCACACTGTGCCCCGGCCCGCTCCGTCACTCGGAGAGTTGGCATTGTTCCTCTATGTCATCCGGTCGCACCGTCCCTTTCCTATCCAGGCGAGGAGGAAAAGCCCCGCGAAGAAAAAAAAAGACTTTTCTTTTTTTTTCGTTTACAGTGTGATGTAAAGTTACGAGGCGAGGCGGAGGCTATGATTCGCGCAGTGCCGAGCCACGCCTTGCAACGCTCCCCGCCCACCGGCCGTTGCTGTCAGGCGGTTCGCACTTTCGGACGAACGGCAAGCAGCACTCTTCACTTGCCATTCAATGTACACAAAGTGGATTCACAACAAAACGGCTGGGGAGAAGAAAAAAAAATAAAGAGGGCAGAAAAACCGACGAAATTGCTTCCGAACGAAAGGGAAAAGCATTTCTTTGCGCAGCGCGGCGGCGCAACGGTGGGCCAGAAGACCGGTGGAGGCGGTCAAAACTCTCGACGCGTTTTGAGCTCCAGAGTCGCTAAAGCAGGACTCGAACCGAACGTGTGACCCCACCAATGGATTCCTCGTTCGGAGAGCAATCCATTGGTGGGGTCACACGTTCGGTTCGAGTCCTGCTTAGCTACTCTGGAGCTCAAAACGCTTCGGGATTTTGTTCACCTCCACCGGTCTTCTGGCCCACTGTGCGGCGGGGCTGTCTCTCTCGCACCCGCAGGGATATCCCGCGAGTGCGAGAGAGACAGCGCGATGTGGATCTCATAAAAGTAACGCCGCGTGGTGCTGATGGTGCATGACGCCCGCCGTGACGCTCGCCGTGACTGTGACACTCGCTGTGACGCTCACCGTGACGAGCGTAAAACAAAGCGAGAGGCAAGGAGAAAGGGATTAAGAGTGAAAGGGATGGAAAGGAAGAGTTGGTCGATAAAACGGCGCGAGCCTCGGCGAATGGAATGGAGGGGGGGGGGCGTACGCGACATGCATAGGGGACGCCTCGGCGCTCTTTTGGGGCTCCGCTTCCGCGTGCGGCTTTCCGACGCTCTGTCTCTCTCGCAACTGCACGGGGCGCCCGCCCTTGGCCCGCCCGGCCCGCGAGTGCGAGAGAGACAGAGACGCAGGTATTATCGCAAACAGGGAGAGAAGGGCCAAGCTCTGACAACTCTTTCAGTCAAATGTATTCGTGTAAGGAGTCTTTTTACTGTAAACAACGACGCCGGTCCTGAGTAAGACTCGCAGTGATGTGGCGGGCTCACCGCCACACTGCACGTTCAGGTTCGTGCGCCATCATCCCGGCGTGAATGGGAGACGCAACCCAACGGGCAGCCGTGCGCGAAGAGTTGCCGCACCGTAAGGCGCCAGAACGCTGAGTGGGGGCGACGCCGTGGCTTCGCCGATGAAACTCGAACTAAAGTTGATTTAGCACGAAGCATGTACTTGACTATGAGTCCGAGAGTCAAAGACACAGATCTTACACTTTCTGATGCACTCTCACTATTTATGAACCCGGAATGACTACATGCAGACAAACCACAATGATGCGGACCTCTCCGAATTTGTTTCCCAAGACGATCAAGCCTTTCGTTTTCCAAAGGCTTCGACCAGGCTTCCCTCGCGTCGGCTTCGCCGCCTTGACCGTGCATCGAGTCAGCACACTGATTCCGAGAGTCGTTTTCGTCTCTCTGTCTCTCTCGCACCTATACGGGACGCCCGATGAGTGCGAGAGAAGCAGAGCGATGAAAACGACTCTCGGAGTGAGTCTGCAGCTCAGCGTCGGCACCGCCTCTAAAAATACGCGGCGGCGGAGAGCCAGTGCAGGGCACGCTGGTTTCGAACTCCACTTTCGTCTTTTCGTCTTACTCTCCTCGCCGGGTGCGAGAGAGACAGAGGCGCCGCGGTGCTGGCGCTTCTCAGTGGCGCCGGGGCGGCCGGGATGGCTGGTTGTGGCCGCTGCGCCGACCGGGATGTGCTCCTGGACATGTGCTGCCCCATCATCGCCGACTCGGGCTGCGGCTGCAGCCTGGAGCTGTGCTGCAAGATCCAGGGCTTCTACAGCGCGGTGAGCAGGCGGGAATGTCCAGAAGACCGGTGGAGGCGGTCAAAACCCCAGACGCGTTTCGAGCTCCAGAGTCGCTAAATAGGACTCGAACCGAACGTGTAACCCCACCCACCAATGGATTGCTCTCCGAACGAGGGATCCATTGGTGGGGTCACACGCTCGGTTCGAGTCCCGTTTAGCGACTCTAGGGCTCAAAACGCGTCTAGAGTTTTGGCCGCCTGCGCTGGTTTTTCGACCAACTGTGCATGGGACTTGGTGGCAACTTTGGGCGCAGATCTGGAGCGCCAGCAAGACCCTGGTGCTGAGCCTGGTCCTGGACAGCCGGCTGAAGGAGGGCAGCTCCGCGTACGCCTGGGCCGCCGCCATGCCCGTCGCCTTCCTGGCCACCGGCATCGCCGTCAACGCCCTCGCCTCGCTCGCCAGCGTCGCCTTCCTCGTGGGGGTGTACCAGGTGAGGGGAGGAGCACCGCGGGCGGACAAAACTCTAGACGCGTTTTGAGCTGCAGAGTCGCCAAACAGGACTCGAACCCAACGTGTGACCCCACCAATGGATTGCTCTGCGAACGAGGAATCCATTGGTGGGGTCACACGTTCGGTTCGAGTCCCATTTAGCGACTCTGGAGACGTACATATGCCTTCTTTCCTGTGTGGTTGCAGAAGAGGCCGAACTTCCTCTCACCCTACCTGCTGGCCGTCCTCGCCCAGATGGTGATGCACGTCATGGCCGTGATGCTGTTCGCGGACGACTCCATCCACTTCTTCGTCATCGGCCTCGTCGAGACCTGTGAGTGAGCTCCCCTACTTCAGACCCAAATTCTAATATTCGTGTTGCAAGTCACTCAACTCCCAAACCAAATTGCGACCTCATTTTGAAAATGGATTTTGATTGTGGGAAAATAAATCTAAAGGCATAAGTCGGACTAATTTCCCAGGGGGTGGAAACGGCGCTGATTTGGCGCCATGGCTGCGGCGATGCGTGCACGGCCGTTGGTTGTTGTTTTTTTGTGGTTCCGAGAACCCATTTAGCTAAAGTAGACATCTTATGCACAATCCTGCACGTGTACTTCTAGAGTAATGTTGTCCTTCGAGAAAATAAGCCCGTTGAAGATTTGAAACCCACAGGACGAGTCATGACATGTTTGTAACTTGTTTTAAATGGCTCATCCGCGTTCGGGCGCGGCGATTCTGCCTGAAAACGCCGGAAAAAATGTAAACAAGTTACAAAAATGTGAATATCTCACTTGTAAGTATCAATTCGGCCCAAGAGCTTATTTGCTGATCCTTCAACCTTACCTTTAAGTACGCTTGAGTTTTGTCGTTAAGACACTACTTCAGCTGGAAAGTGGTTTACCATAACGCGGTAAGTGGTGAACGGCAAAACGGCCGTGCACGCATCGCCGCAGCCAAGGCCGCCAAATCAGCCCGTTTCCACCCCTGATTTTCCGGATGCGTGAGCTGTGATTTCGTTGACACGTTTCGATTTTCCAGGCCTGCTTATCTACATGCTCCGCGGGGCGACCAGCCACCGATTCTTCCTGAGGGACGCAAAAGCTGGACCCACGTTGAGCAGCAATGGTACTTTTTTCTCTTTTTTTTTTGTTTTTGATTTTTTTTTAAATTTTGTGCTTTATTTGCTTTTTATTGTTTTTTTGTTTTTTTGTTGTTGTTTTTTTGTTATTTTTTCGACACCAGCAATTGTGAAATCAGAATATGGCTCGATATTTGTGATGAGTGGACACTGATTTTGTGTGTGGTTGACCTTCTTTCCAGCTTCCACTGATGTGACTGTCGTGGTCATGGAAGGACAGCAGAACCCATCTGGCGCCATCCAACTAACCAATTTGTCAGCCGAAACCGGAAATGCGGCATAACAAGCTCATCCCCAGGGAGAACAAAAAAGTCCAAATTATGTCAATAATCTTTGGTCAAAATTTGGTCCATTTTGATGTCCAAATGACATCATTTGATCAGTTTGATTTGATTTTGACTGCCTGTTCTCCTTGGGTCGCAAAGCCACGCCCGTGTACGTATACGTGGGCCATCTAAAACCATGTACCTGTGTCAATGTCAGTGTACCTGTCAATAATAAAGTCTCCTTTTTGCAACCGGCTGTTTATTTCTGCCCCGATCGACGGAGGGAGCAGCTCACTCGAGAAGAGAGCCCCTTGGGGTGACGAGAGAGGCTGGCAGGCTCAAGGGTTGCCAAAACGCACCATTGTCGATAGGGTTGCCAACCTCCGCCTGCCTACTGGTCAACTCTTGAATAGCAAAGTGCGGATAGTGTCACGTCGGCAGGCTGAGGTTGGCAGCCCTTTCGACACTGGTGCATCGTGGGAGTTTGGGTCGACTAACGTGGCAGCACTGGCTAGCTTTGGCGGGGCGGCAGTCCGGCGAGAGGCCAGCCCTGCCGCTGAAGGTGCACGCCGTGGAGGGCTAGGTCCTCGCCGTTCACGTGCCCGGCGCCTCTTTGGCGTGCACGACGGCCTCCCCGGCCAGCAGGGGGCTCCTGGCGGACGGCAGCCCGTCGACGCCGTCGCCTGAAGGCACACTCCCTTTAGGTCAAAGTCCACGGCGCTGTAAAAACTCCCAGTGTGGTGGACTCACGCCGCAGTGCGCGCAGTGTGCTGGCCAGGGCGTCCTCCTCGCAGAAGGCCTCCACGTCGAAGCCAGCGCCCACCAGCTTGGCGCGCGCGCCGGGCCGCGTCCCCGTCAGCAGGAGGCGCTGCCCGCCCTGCTGCAGCTCCTTGGCCAGCGCCACGAGGGCCTGTGGAACCACAAGCACAGTCACTGGCTCGCCGCACAGTGGGCCGGAAGACCGGTGGAGGCGGACAAAACTCTAGACGCGTTTTGAGCTCCAGAGTCGCTGAAAAGGGCTCCAATCGAACGTGTGACCCCACCAATGGATTGCTCTCCGAGCGAGGAATCCATTGGTGGGGTCACACGTTCGGTCCGCGGCCCCTTTAGCGACTCTGGAGCTCAAAACGCGTCCGGGAAGTTTTGACCGCCTCCACGGGTCTTCTGGCCCACGTCGAGGGCCACAACAAGGCACTCGCACTTTCTTTTGCGACTGACTGTACTCGCTGGGTCGTACCGAGGCGCCCGAGTAGTCCAGGGTGACGACGGCGGAGAAGTCCAGCACGACGGGGAGCTCGCCGCGGCCGAGCCCCTTGGCGGTCCCGGAGGCGTGCTGGCGCAGGGCCTCCACGCCGGGGTACAGCAGGCCCAGCGACGGCCGCACCAGCACGTACTCGGCGCCGTCCTCGCTCTGCAACCGCCGCAGTGTGTACAAACTCCAGACGCGTTTTGAGCTCCAGAGTCGCTAAGCCGAGGGGAAATCACTCTTAAAAACTGTGACCCGACTACTCCCTATTACGTTCTATTACGCTATTACAGAAGGCTTATTACGCTCGAAAATATCCAGACTTAGGCTAAAATCGGACCCAAAAAAGGGAAAGTTTTAAAAAATTTGGCTATTACGCTATTACTATTACGCGTAATACTAGGAATTGGTGACCCGACTATTACGCGAGTGATTTCCCCCTCGCGCTAAGCAGGACTCGAACCGAACGTGTGACCCCACCAGTGGACTGCTCTCCGAACGAGGAATCCATTGGTGTTGTCACACGCGTGGTTCGAGACCTGCTTAGCGACTCTGCAGCTCCAAGCGCGATTTTGGCCGCCTCCACCGGTCTTCTGGCCCACCGAGATGCCTCACCTGTCGCGCGGTGTCCGCCACGGCCGGCGTGGTCCAGGGCTGCAGCAGCCTGGTGGCGTCCAGCAGCATGCCGACCACCAGGCCCACCTCCACGCCGAGCCACAGGCACGTCAGGAAGGTCGCCACCAGCACCGCCAGGTCGCGCTCTGCGGACCGCCAACACACAGTAGTGTCGCTCTGTCTCTCTCGCGCCCCTTCGAGGCGCCCCGTGAGTGCGACAGAGACAGAGCGACGAGGTGATCTGAATGGAGGGACGGTAGAGGAAGACTCACTGCTCGTCCTCCAGAGGCGCGGCACGATGGCGGCGTCCACCAGGCTGCCCACGGCCACGATGAGCACGGCGGCGAGGGTCGGCCGCGGGATGAAGTAGAAGTAGGGCGTGAGCCAGGCCAGCGCGCCCACGATGAGCAGGCTGCAGTACGCGCCGGCCAGCGGCGTGCGCACGCCCGAGGCCTAACAACACCCCCACGATGCACCAGTGTCGAGAGGGTTGCCAACCCCAGCCAGCCAGCCAGAGCATTGCCTGAGGTTGGCAACCCTGTCGACAGTGGTGCACTGTGGGGATGATTTCCTACTTACCTCCGCCACGGCCGAGCGAGTCAGTGCCCCCGACACGGGCATGGCCTGCAGCAGCGAGCCCACCAGGTTGCAGGACGCCAGGCTCAGCATCTCCTGCGACGCGTCCAGGGCGCCGCTCATGCTGCTGGTCGCTGCGGCGGGGATAGAGCAATCCATTGGTGGGGTCACACGTTCGCTTCGAGTCCCATTTAGCGACTCTGGAGCTCAAAACGCGTCCGGGATTTCGACCGCCTCCCGGCGGGTGGCGCTCACCGTAGGCCTTGGCGATGGCGATGTTGACGAGGACGCCGACGACGGGTGTGACCACGATGCCCACGCCCAGCTCGGCCGTCATGTCCACGAAGCTGTATGTGGCGTTGCCCGCCGTGGTGCCGCCGAACGGGGGCAGGGTGACGGCGGGCAGGCCGGGCGTCATGTACCCTGCAAGCAGCACGTCGTTCGCGTCGCTCTGTCTCTGTCGCACTCATGAGGCGGGGGTGCGAGAGAGACAGACTCACCCACCACGGCGAACGGCACCACCGTCTCCCCCTCCGCCGGCCGGCTGGCCAGCAGGAAGGCCACCACGGAGGCCGCCGTGATGCAGAAGGCGTTCTTGGAGATGGACAGGAACCACAGGGCGCGGCCCAGCCGCCGGGCCGGGTCCACGCGGACCAGGGACAGCCCCTGCGGACGCGCGCAGAGCTCCAGAGTCGCTGAATGGGACTCGGACTGAACGTGTGACCCCACCAATGGATTGCTCTCCGAACGAGCAATCCATTGGTGGGGTCTCACGTTCGGTTCGAGGCCCATTTAGCGACTCTGGAGCTAAAAACATGGCCGCCTCCACTGGTCTTCTGGACTGCCGCTGCCGCGCACCTTGAAGGCCAGGAGGAAGGCGATGGAGGCGAAGCCGAGGCCCGCGTCGCCGGGGCGCACCTCAGAGACGCGCCGCCCGAGCTGCAGCAGTGTGTCCACGCAGCCGTGGCCGCGGACGTACACCCCCAGCAGCGGCGGCAGCTGCGCCACCATGATGATGATAGCCGTGGCCGAGGTGAAGGCCGACACCACGGGCATGGAGATGAAGTCCACCAGGAAGCCTGCCGGGAGACCACTTTGTGCGTAACTTGCGCGTGAGTTCCTCCAAGTTCCAACGCCTTACCCAGGCGCAGCACCGTCATGGCGAACTGGACCAGGCCCGTGAAGAAGGTGAGCAGGTGCACGAAGGTGACGGGCTTGTCGCGGGTGAACTGCAGCGTCACGATGGACATGATGGAGGCGGGGCCGATGACGACCTGCTTGATGGTGCCCAGCAGCATGTAGGCGATGCCGCCGGCGAACGCGGAGTACAGCCCGTACTGGAAGACACAAGCCTCGGTCGCACAGAGGGCCAGAAGACTGGTGATGGAGGCGGCCAAAACTCGAGCAGCCTTTTGAGCTCCAGAGTCGCTAAGCAGGACTCGAACCGAACGTGTCACCCCACCAATGGATGCCTCGTTCGGAGAGCAATCCATTGGTGGGGTCACACGTACGGTTCGAGTCCCATTTAGCGACTCTGGGGCTCAAAACGCGTCCGGGATTTTGCGCCCTCCTGTTTTGCCTACCTCGGGCTTGACGCCGGCCAGCTGGGCGTAGGCAATGCTCTGCGGCATCATGGTCAGGCCCAGGGTGATCCCGGACACCAGGTCGGCGACGGCCAGGTCCGACGTGTAGGCCGGCAGCCATCTCAAGACCGGCACACGGCGCACCAGCCATGCCGGGACTGCAGTGAATGAATGGTCCAGTAATGAATGGATGGCCCAATATTTGAATGAATGAATTAGTGAATGAATCTGTACAGGACTTGGCAGCTAGGAGACCTTGCCATTGAATCGAGCCGTGACCCATCCTTCCACGTGTGTGCCTCCACCTTATCAGCACGCGTGTGTTTGGCCTGACTTACCTACGGACTCGGCGCTGGCGCCATCTTTGCGTCGGAATAGACCCATTCCCCCGGCCTGCAATACAAAGCAGTCTGCTGAGACCAACCTCACACTTCGATCATTCAATCGGTATATTTCCATCTGAAGTGACACGGTTGGACTAAACTTTGTTTCGTCCCTCCGGGATTTCTACTGTCTACGAAATTGCGACAACAAGGCATGGAGAGAGATTCGTTGTGTTTGTCTGTTTTTAGCGTCAATTTTCGTGCGGCTCTGACGAGCCAGTTTGAAGCCCCCCTCCACGTTTAATTGATTCTGATGGGTTGCCCGTCCCCAGGCCAGCGCGCATGCTGCTTTTCCTCAAAGAATTCGCGTTCGTGTCAAGTGACATCAGTCAAGACCTTCAACCAGATTTCGTACTGATGCGCCCTGCATTCAAGCCACGCGCTCCACTGCAAAGAAGACTTAGTCAAATCGAACACAACTTTCAGTTTTAGCTCTTGTTGTTGAACCTTGGCTTGGAATTAATTGAACGCGCTCTCAGTGAAAATCGGTCAAAATGGTCAGACAGAGGAAATGAACGAGAATAACGTCAATCTGACTACCTTCTGTCTGCTTTTCTCTCGTTCTAACAGTGCTGAGGAAATGAACACACAGGTCCGCCTTGCCCGCCACTGTGAGGCATCCGATCGCAGAGTCCCATGCCGTCCTCCGGCAATTCAATTGTGTCAATTCTAGCAGTGGTTCGGTCGGCCCATTTGACCGCGGTCGGGCACGCCTACATGGAGCCCACACACACAGGAATGCAATTTTGGCGCACTCTTTTTTTCTGACCTAGGATTAAAAAGGGGGCAACAAGGTACCTCAGCCAAAGGACAGAACAACGGAGAGAGCAAGATTCTCGTGACAACGCGAAATAACGCACTCACTGGATTTTGAGTTCCAGTTTACTACATGAACGTACACACGCAATTCGAAGGATAACTTCGAATGTCACTATGAGAATTGTTTTGTCGATTTGGAGTCGGAAGCTCAGTTTATGGAATGAATTATTTGGCAAACTGGCGACTCCGTCGCCATTTACTCACTGGGGGGCGTGCAGGGCTTGTCGTGGGACCGCGGCGGTGTCTGGGGCGGGACTGACTGTGCCCATGCGAACGCCGGCGCCTCGCTGGGCGCCTGACAGTGGGTGCACTGTTAAAAATTCTTTGAAAAAATAGAATCGACAAAAATCTGGATCCGAAAAGCAATGAACTGGATCGACGGATGTAGTGTTGTGTCGAGCAAGGTATTGGCAAGTGCCACTCAGTTACTCAGTTCAACTACACACTTGAAAGAAACCCACGAAATTACCGTGTGCACTCACAGATTAATTCATGTCCTTGGACCTAGTGCTCCGTCTTGTCACGTGGGGGTCCTGAGGGACAGTTGGTACCTGGGTGATCACTGGGCCCCGAGGAGGAAGGGAAGCGAAGGGAAGTCATTTTCGTGTCAGAATGACACTAAAAGTGACCTGGAGGTCAAGATTGGATACCATTCTCTCATCACAGCGACGCAATCTGACGTCAAACCACCTCAAATTAACTTTGTATTCCTCCTTGTGAATGGTCTGTCGCAGACCTTAGGATCATTGTTGCCAACCAAGTTGGCAAATACTTCCTCGACGCTAGCAGGCCACTGGAAGCAGACGCCTCTGGGTTGATTCTCAATTATTTTTCAACATTTTGGCTCCCACTGCAACAACGGAGCCTGAAAGACCTTGAACGCTGATAAAGGAGAAGTGGGTCGCTGCGGTGTGTTGGTACGCGTCAAGACAGGTGTTACGTCCGTGAAGATAAGTCCCGCGCCGCGTAGGTAGCCATCCCGCGCTTCACCCGTCTTGCTAAATTTAGTGCAAAACTCTTTTATCGTCCATGTTTTTTTTTAAATTTTATATTTTATTGAAAACATTAATTTCAACAACGGTGCCTTAAAGCTACGTCCTTGATAGTGATGGAAGTGTACCAAGTCGAGGACAAGGCAGGACTCGCGGGTCGCGGAAGACCCCCTCCCTCTTCACCACGGTGGAGGTCTTCCCGGCGAGCTCCGCCGTCGTGGTGGACAGGCCCCCAAGAGCTGCTCGAGGGTTGGTCGGTTGACCGTTTGCGATTTCACCAAATCGGCTTGGCTGACTAGATTGCACGGTGGCCGAAGAGCCGCCCCTGGAACACGGTGAGGAGACATTGGCAACAGTGGGTCAGAGGACCGGTGGAGGCGGTCAAATTGGGTTTTGAGCTCCAGAGTCGCTAAATGGGGCTCGAATCGAACGTGTGACCCCACCAATGGATTGCTTTCCGAAAGAGGAATCCTTTGGTGAGGTCACACGTTCGCTTCGAGCAACTTCTCGAGAACAAAGCCAAGGTCCAGCAGGCACAGCACCTTCACTGCTCCACGATGAGGTGGATGTCCTCCCCGGGGTGGTACTTCTCCTTGTGCTCGTGGAACAGGTCCACCAGCGCCTTCTCGAACTTCTCCATCAGCTCCTGAATCTGCTCCGGGCTGGGTTCTGCCACCTTTTCAACGGGGATGGGTGCTCCAACTGCCAAAATAACAAAAATATTTTTTTAAAATTCTAATTGATGCTATGTAGTGAGTTGACTTCAAGGTGCATGCACGCACCCACGACGGTGAGAGGCAGCCGGTGCGGCACGGCGCCGAAGGAGTACTGGAACAACCCCCTGCCGACGGGCACGACGGGGACGAAGCCCAGCACGCGGCGGAACCAGTTCTGGAAGGTGGCGATGGCTGAGCCGCGGACCTGGGACAGCAGCCGGTGCTCGTTGAAGGTGAACACGGGCACGAGCGGGACGCTGCAACCACGCGAGTCAAATCAGTACAGTCAACTAAAATTTTACCTCAAAGCTGTTTTCTCGCAATGGTCGAGTCGCTGCTGCTGCGCGCGCCTGGAGGGTCGGCAAGCCATCCACTCTACGTGCGCGGTGGGTTGCCTACTCTCGGCATCGCAGGCGCAGAGTCGGGCGCAGTGCAGTGGGCCAGAAGAACGGCGGAGGCGGCAAAAACTCCAGACGCGTTTTGAGCTCCAGAGTCGCTAAATGGGACTCGACCCGAACGTGTGACCCCACCAATGGATTCCTCGTTCGGAGAGCAATCCGTTGGTGGGGTCACACGTTCGGTCCCTCACCCCTGCTGCAGGGCCAGCCTGACGAAGCCCTTCCTCCTCTTGAGCACGATGCGGTAGTCGCCGGGCTCCGAGAGTTGCGCCTCGCGCGCGCCGCCGACCAGCAGCACCACCAGCCGGCCGCCGCGGGGGTCACTGAGCGCGCAGCGGAGGCTGGATATGGCCGCGCTGATGATGCCTGAGCACAGAGAGTCGTGGAGAATCCAGCCAGAGGGAAAACCCCTCAACGCCGAAGGAAGCCTACCTACCTTGCGACAGCAGCATCTCCCTCAAGAAGGGCACGCTGAAGTTCTGCCGCAGCGTCACCAGGTTGGGCGTGGTGCCGGGGAACAGCTTGCGCACGCCCAGCGCGTCAGTGCCGAAGCTGCCAACACGACAGCAACAATCAGCAATTTTGAATTTTTAAATTTGGAATTTTGGAATTTTGACGAATTTTTGTTTTGCGCTTGCCTGCAGACGACGCCGGTGCCGATGATGCCGTGCGGGTAGGAGCACAGCAGGTAGTTCTTGTCGGGCGGCAGCTCGGCCGTCTTGACGAGCCGCACGGGGAAGTAGTCCCGGAAGTAGTTCCACAGCACGCAGCCGCGCACGAACGACCAGCCGCGGCCTGGAACCACAGGGAACCACCAAAATTAAAAAAAAAATTTAAAAAAATGTTAAAAATTTAAAAAAAAAGAAATTAAAAATTTGTTGAAAAATGCGGGAGTTTTTGCTTACTCGGTTGGCAGCACTGACTTACCGTTCCGCCGGCCGCCCTGATCGCACGTGTTCCGGTCGAGGTAGAGCCAGGCGAGGTACAGCGGCAGCAGCCACCGCAGCACGGGGTGGAGGGCGAGCAGGGACGCCACCGCCCACAGGATCCACGGGCCCAGGAAGATGGAGTACATCCACATGGCCACCACCAGCGTCTGCAGGCGGCGCGACAGCGGCAGGCCGAGCGGGGCCCACCGCACGCCCAGCACCATCGTCCCTGCGGACAGAGTCGCCCTGTCAGACGGACGAAATTCCCGCCACGCGCCAGTGTCGCAAGGACTGCCAACCTCTGGGCGACTTCTCGAGCAAAGATTAGTCATTGCGCTGCAGGCTGAGGCTGGTCGCTCAGAATTGTGTTCCCTTTGTGTGCCTGCCTATGTGCCTCAGGCGGTCGCAGGGGCCACACGGCCGAGCACTGCAGTCGCGCGCGCCGCCTCGGCGTCCGTCCGTCTGTCCGCCGGCAGTGGCCGGCAGGCTCGCCTCGCCGCCCCCTTCTGTTCACACAACGTTCTGCTGCGCCCGCTGCGCTGCAGTTTGCGCGCCAAACGTCCGTGCCCCCTCCACCGCCCCCCTCTTCTTTCTCCCGTCGGGCCGTCCAGTCCGACACTCCGTTCCGCACGGCGGAGCCCGAAATTTGCATCTCAACCTCACCTGGCCTGAGCGAGAAAAATGCGGCCAGTCCCCCGTCCTGCTGATCAAATAAATCGTATGTAGGAAGCAAACATCTGTTTGGCACGAGTTTCGTACACAGGCGCAAGTGTCGCTTCTAAAAATGACTTTGTGTTACAAAGTTGGCCTGACTGTATCTTGCCGACGGCCGACTCCCGACCCGGCCAACCCAGCCCGGATCCACGAACGAGAAAAAGGGTAGGGGGCACATCAGGGCGAGGTCTCCCCCCCCCCCCCTTTCCTCCCTCTGGTCTGCTGCTCAGTCGACCGCTGCCGTGCTTACGAGCTGGAGCGTTCCGGCCGGCCGCTGCGGTACTGCTTGTTGTGGGGACAAAGGAAAGTGAACAGGTACGTGGGAGAGGTCTGAGCGCGACGATGAACCGGCCAGATGAGTAGTGCGTGTCTACGGATGCAAACGCGCTGAATGTTGGACTGCAATATCGCAAGTGAGGAAAGCCCGCCAAATTTCTGTGACGTGGCACAAAGGGAATCTCGTGTGTCGATAAGAGCGTACCTGTGGAAGCTAGCGAAGTTTTTCCGGTCGCGCCCTCATTATCATTTGTCGTGCAACATGGCGGCCGCAGTGATGCGTCGCAACGATTCAGCGGCCTTTAACCCGCCCGCGAGCCAGGTTAGGTTAGGGTGACAAGTGAGCCACCGAGTGTTGCGTCAGCGTCGATGGGGAAAATATCGATTTGCAATTGCCATCGTAGACAACCAATTTTTTTTACCGAGTCGTGCCACCGCGAAAAATGTAAAAAAAGGTTGGGTCTCTATGGTCTCTGAGGACCCAATGTATTATACGTAGAACATCCGTATCAATGGCATTTCTTCTGTTTCCAGGAATCGCCGACGCCATGGACTCAAACGGAGGAACGGGCCGTGCAAATGCAGCACTATCAGGTAGGGGCCGTTCTACGATACCATTTTGGGGGTGGGGGTGGGGGGGAGTCGAGCAACACCCTATCTCGGTCACGTAGTATGGGAATGACCCCTATCACACCTTATCTGCCGCAACGCTACTGTTGTTTAGCAGCCTTGCACCCAAACAAATTTTGCGCGCGTGAAATCAGAATCCCAATTCGAATTACCTTAGTGTTTTTTTTTTTTGTTTTTTTTTTCAGCTGAGAGCGCGAGAAATGGGACAGGGGCTGCTGGTCCATCGCGCCGCTCCAACCAAAACCCATCCAGCCCTTCCGCTTCGCCTCCAGTCACCAGGGGAGTCAAGAGGAAGTCGGGGGACAACCAAGTCCGTCAACGGAAGCTTGATACCGCGCTGGCACGAGCAATGTACGCCACAGGAGTGCCCCTCACAAAACTTGCCAATCCGTATTGGTCCAAGTTTTTTGCTCTGCTGCAGTACGCGCCGCCCACGCCCGATGAGCTGAGCAACGCCTTACTTGAGCAAGAGTACAAGCAGTGCCAGGCCAAGACGGAAGAGTTGACCCACAAGGCTGATTGTTTGGGAATCATGGCTGGCTATTTCCCAAACGTTCGATTGGACAGCATCATTAATATTATCGTCACCACTCCCCAACCTGCGATTTGGACTCAAAAAAATTACCTTGGAAACAGAGGAAAAGACGAGATAGGGAACGAGTTACTTACAGCCATAAACAAAATAGGCTCTCAAAAATTTTGGTTACTCGTGACTAACTGCAATGAGGATGGGTATGCTGCTGACAAGGTTATCGAAAAATACTCCCACATTACTCAGGTTAAGTGTGCGTCTCAATGTTGGGATCTGCTTGTCGGTGATTTGATCTGCTCAGTACCTGAGTTTACGGTGCGATTTCTGCAGGCCAGGGACATAGTGAAGCACTTTAAATTTTGCTCTGAGCGACTAGCTGTCTTCAAGGAGAATCAGGCCGAGATCTACGGTGAATCGGCGAGGACTCTGAAACGTCCTGGAGCAATCAGTTGGGCGCAGGGCGTTCGAATGATGATCTCTGTCATTGAAAATCAGGAGGCGTTGAGAGAGTCTGTTCAGACTGCGCCAGACATTGACGAAAACATCAAAAATCATGTTCTGGAAGAAGACTTCTGGAAGGAGATACGATGTTTTTCCGAGATTCTCACTCGCATCCACGCGGCTATCACGTACATCGCAGGGACACAGGCGCGTCTGTCGGATGTTTACCACATCCACGTGCTGATCATCGAGTGGGTCAGGTCGAACCTGTCCAAACTAGGTCTGCGAGAAAGGGCGAGGCAGGTGGACGACGTTTTGATAGAAAGTATGGGAAACCTCGTAGCTCCCATCCACTTGGCTGCGTACCTGCTCGATGATAGGTACGAAGGGAGGGGTTTGGACTCGGAAGGAGAGAGGCAGGCCCGCGAGTGCATCGGAAGCCTCCGAAGCCATCCAGGGCTGGAAGCAGTAGAAGAGGATAAGAAGGAGGATCGCATCGCCCAGAGCATCATCTCCATGCCGCCGTCGGCGGCGGAGTGCGGCCGGCGTCGCTCGGAGCACGCCTTCATCCACAGCAAGGCCAGGAACCGCCTGACCGACGACAGGGCGGCCAAGCTGGTCAAGATCCGGTGCACCCTGCAGGCCGACCTGTCCAAGAGGAAGTCCAGTGGGCGCGCGCCCATGACCGTGCAACAGCTCGAGGAGTACTTCGCCAGGTACCCGGAGATCGCTGAGGTGGCGGCGGACAGCGAGGACGAAGAGGAACGAGAAGTACTCCCACCTTTGAAACGCCAGACCAGGATAGACGAGTATTTTCCGAGCCGCGCTCCGAACTCGTCTCGCGCTTCCTCAGAGTGTGTTGCGCTGTCGAGCGCGGAACGTAGCTCTAGCGGCATTATTAAATTTTTCCGAAAAAGCTAAGAGCCGAATGTGTCCCTCAGAGTGGGCAAAAGCAAAGGCAGCCACCTGGTCTCGCTGCAAGCGCCCCAACTGGGCCTCGTTTACTGTACAGATGTACACCCCTGCAACAACTCGGCTGCTGAACAACTCGCTATCGAAGGCTCATAGAACGTGTACCATTTCAATTTTGTAACTGGGTGAGACTAGAGCCCTAGAGAGGTTAGGTTAGGGCTCTAGGTGAGACTAGCCACTTACAGTGGCCCTTCATATTTTTTGCATGTATTTTGTTAGTATTATGGGGAACCTCGCTTAAAATATTAACATGAATTGTTTTTCAATTTTGATAATTTGTAACAGACATTCTGTATTGGTCCTCAGTATTTCCAAATGTAATTTTGATAAATAAAGATTAAAGCGAAACATATGCATTTTATGGAAGTCCATCGACGCTTCATTTTCTTCGGCGCTTTCCTCAGTCACATTCAATCAGGTAAATCTTACTCCTCACAGTTTGACGACCCTCATAACTGGACAAAATGTTTGGCAAGTACTGGAAACTTCTCGCACTCCCCCGCACAGTCCTGTGTGCGCTGAACTGGACAGTGTGGTTCGGTTTTGGGCTTAGGCGGGCCCCTGAGGACACCGGCTGACTTTGGATGCCACCTGACGGAGGGCGCGCGGGCACCGCCGGCCGGTGTGCCGTCTCAAGGTCCCCAGACGGCCACTCGGAGGACGAATCTTATCGGGAGCCTAGAGATACACTGGCGCCAAAGTAACGCGTAGGGACCACGAGGAATGCCGGGGCGATGAACCGGCAGACCGCCACGGTCAGACGCTTTTTGAGACGCCCGCCCGGGTCGCCGCCTGCGACGCGGGCAACCCAACTCACGCCGCGGCCCCCGTTTATGTAAGGCCCCCATGACGCGTGCGCAGTGTAGTGAGTGGGCAGCGCGCATGCATGAATTATGCCATTATGTCATCTGGCCGTGACCAAGGTCCCGTGGGGCGCGGAAGGTAAGGGGTGCGCAGTGGGCCAGACGACCGGTGGAGACGGCCGAAATCCCGGACGCGTTAGCTCCAGAGCCGCTAAGTGGGACTCGAACCGAACGTGTGACCCCACCAATGGATTCCTCGTTCGGAGAGCAATCCATTGGTGGGGTCACACGCGCGGTTCGAGTCCCGTTTAGCGACTCTGGAGCTCTGCACGCGTCTTGCGGCCGCCCCCACCGGCGCTGGCTCCGCCCGCTCCGCCACTGCGTTGCTGCTCACCGCATTCGCGCTCCCCGGCAGCGACGTCCGCCATGGCGGCTCTTCTCTCGGCACGCCGTCCTCGCCGTCCACGCCGCGACTGCAGCACCGAATCGAACCGAGTCGCAAACACAGATAAAGGTTGGACGCGTGCTAAAGGCGGAGCGCGAAGCGCGGAGCCAAGCCGTGTGGCCCGGCCCTGGCCCTGGCCTCGGCTCGGCCCTGCCCTATCCCTTGGCGTGGTCCGGAGACCTCTGCAGGCAGTGCTGCCACCCGAGTAAGCGGAAACTCCCACGGTGTACCAGAAAGGGTGGCCAAGCCTGCCTGAAGCAATGTCTTGGCTTCGCCTTTGAGAAGTAGGCAGCCTCAGGTTGGCTACCCTTCCAACACATCCAGTCCATCGTGACAATTTTTCCCTACTTTTGTGGTAACACTGCCTGCAGGCACGACCTGTGGCACAGCTAATAGATGGAAAACCAAATATAAAATTACTTTGGAGTATGAAACGCATTTTTCCTAGTCCAAGAGTTTCACGTTGTTGCTTGGTCACTATCACAATAGGCCACACCACCTCCGCAAGCACTGCTGGCAAGGCACACCGAGATAGCGCAATGTCTCACTCGCACACGCAGCGAGTGCAGGGGAAATGCTAGACAGAGAGCGAGAGGGGACAAGGTGTAAAGTGGTATTGGCTCGGTGGTTAATCCACGGCTCAACGAAGAGTCCACCATGAAGCAAGTACGCAGATCTTCTGCAAGCACATCCACGCCCACCATTAGCTGCTGAGGTGGGTTCTGGAAACACAGCTATCAAGTGTCTAGCGCGGGCCCTACTCTCGTGAGGTAGCCGCGGTGTGAGCTGACACTAAGCTCCTTAGAAACCGAGACCACGCTTCGACCGCTGGTCATTAAAAACCAGCTTACACATCCATAGATAATTTGTAAAATTCAAACGCTGCCGTGGACTTTCGAATTTCCGTAGTACTTTCTCACTGGGACAAGGCAAGGAAGGATTCAAAAATGACTAACACAGCGGTGGACATTGCAAACGATGTTTATTTTGCGTGTTTACAAGCTACATCACAATGTGGTACACAGTTCAATGAAGGCGGATGGAATACACAATACGTGGAATGATTTATGAGTGCAGAGCAAAGGAATGCTTTTAGGGAACATGTTTCTGTGCTCCTAAAAGAAAAATTTAACTTCTTTAAAGTGGAGGCCAAGAAGAAACGAATTTTGCTCTGCCACCGTATGGATTTACAATGTTTCCGGCGTCAATAGTCAGATCATCTATAAAAGCATTCAACAAAAATAGTCTCTTATTTTATTATTAACATATAGATATAATTTGATATAAATTCTACTTGTAAACATAAACTAGCATCACATTTCTAAATTTGCATAGGAGTACAAATGGAGTTGCACACGGGCGCACGGCCTTCCCACAAGTTATGGTACTGCTAATATTGTTATTAAAAATATTTTTAATAGGAGTCATTCAAAAAGTCTCTAAACAAAGGGCAAATCTAGTTGTTTTTGTTGCGCAAAGTGCAACGATATGTAAAATATGTATTGTCTTTTTTGTGCAAATTGTTACATGGCTGAAACTTCACAGGCGACACCAATCCTTCCGCTAAAGAAACACAAATAACGGTTTCAAAGTGTTATTTTCTTTAAATCCTACAACAAATGAATAAAGTTAAACGACGCGTGGGGGAGAATGGTGAATGTGGGGAATGAAAGACGAAATCATGGATGTTATGAATGTAAAGGATAAACCACGGTGCGTACCAATACTGTTAAATAATCACAAAACTCAACAAAATGATTAACAGCCCAGGGTCTTTGGCCCAGCATGACAATAGTAATGTTATTTTAACATTTAGTCGTGGAAACCACAGGATGCCACGCAGACTAACACATACTTAGCATTTTATCAAATAATATCGTCAAATCTGACTCGCACGCAGACACATACGCACGGACACACAAACGCTTCACTCACACACTCACTCACACATGCATGATTACATATATACACTTTTACACGCGCACATACATCCGCCTACTCAACATTCACAGACATGGTATCTGGGCGACTTTGTCTTCACTTTACGGCACATGTTCGACGCTGCAGTCCTGCTGCAAGCGGAGGCTGGCTCGGTGTGACGAGGTACATACATCGGGTACAAAACGAAATGCGTCACGAATCCAAGTCAAACAATACAGTACTCACAAAGAAATGTACATTGCCTGGGTCAGGCCTGACACGCTGCAACTGTTCGCAGCAACAAGGTTCGAGACCGGACAGCGCGGGGGAAGGTGCTGGCCTCCTTGACAGTTTCTGACTCGGTTCAGGCAGCTGGCGCGAGCAGCGGCGCCGACTCCAGTGATGCCACTTAAAGAAGCAAAAATTGCCCACGACGCACCAGTGCCGCCAAAAGGCAGTCCTGCCGACCAAGGCAGGTTGGGGTTGGCACCCCTGTCGGCACTGGCGCCTCGTGGGCCATTTTCGCCGACTCCTTTGGCAGCACTGCCGGGCGTCGGAGCGCCCTACACAGCGGCGGGGCGGCGGGGCAGTATGAAGGGAGGCCTACCCAGCAGGCGGACAGGCCGACAGGCTACACCTTACTGGTCTTGTTGGACTTGTCCTTCTTCTTGAGGGCGCTGCGGGTGCCGAGCTGCCGGGTGGGCAGTTCGAGCAGGCGCTGGATCTCGTCGGGCGACCGGCCCTTGGTCTCGGGCACCAGGAAGGCCATGAAGAGCGTGCCCAGCACGCAGATGCTGCAGAAGACGCCGTACGTGGCGGCCGCGCCCATGTCGCGGATCATGGAGCCGAAGACGTTGGTGACCAGGAAGCCCAGCGACCAGTTGAGGCAGATGGCGGACGAGGAGCCCCAGTCCTGCGCCTCGGTGGGCAGCAGCTCGGCCATCATGAACCAGGGCAGCGAGCCGATGCCGAAGGCGAACACCCACACGAACACGGACAGCGCCACGATGGGCACCCAGCCGTACTCCGCCGACACCTGCAGTGCGAGCAGTTAGCAAAACCCGGCGAAGCCGCACAGTGCACAGGCGGCCGAAACTCTAGACGCGTGTTGAGCTCCAGAGTCGCTAAATGGGACTCGAACCGAACGTGTGACCCCACCAATGGATTGCCCTCCGAACGAGGAATCCATTGGTGGGGTCACACGTTCGGTTCGAGTCCCATTTAGCGACTCTGGAGCTCAAAACGCGTCTGGAGTTTCGGCCGTCTGAGCTGGTCTGTGACCAGCGAGCGCCTGCGAAGTCGCGGATAGGCAACACTGCACGACACCCGCGCGTAGAACGTTCGTATTGCCTAACTCACAGGCGCTCTCCGAGACTCGGAGCAAAAAAGAAAACTTGGAAAAACCAACAAAATGCGTAAATTTGTACTGACGTTGATGTGGCGGTCGTCCCGCAGGTGGAAGTAGAGGGCCAGCGAGGCGAGGGAGGCCGCCATGAGGGCCTCGGACAGGATGAGCAGCACGCGGCGGCCCACGCGGTCCACGGCGATGGCCGAGGACACGTTGGCCACCACCTGCACGAAGCCCACCACGATGGACGCGTACAGCGGCGACATGGTGCTGCCGGCGTCTGCGGGAGGGAAGCACAAACGGGTCAGTCTGCTGGAACGGCCAGCATCAAGCTAGACGGGTGGCGGCTCAAGTTCGGCGCTGGCAGGGCAGTGGGCGTGGCATCCCGGTAGCGCAATGGTTACGGTGCCAGCTTTGTAGGTAGCGGGTCACGGGTTCGAGACCGGTACCACGTACGTTTTTTCGGCAACCAACTTCTTGAGGAGGTACATTCAGAGAAGATTGGGTACCAGCGCAGGCAGGCCGGGCACCATGGCCTCACGGTAGCTCAATGGTTAAGAGCATGGTGTGGGAAGCGGTAAGTCCCGGGTTCGGCACCGGTAGTATATACCATTTTACCATTTATATATACCATTGCTTGGGGAGGTCCAGAGAAGATTGGGTACCAGCGCAGGCAGGGCGGGTGCCATGGCGTCCCGGTGGCTCAGTGGTTAAGAGCATGATTCGGGAGGAGGCAGGGCCCGGGTTCGAGACCGCTCAAGGTACAATTTTTTCGGGACCAGATTTCTCGAACGGCAGCTCAAGAGGAGTTGCGACATCGCCGCCGACAAGCTGGTCAGGTGGCTGAGCGGTCAGGGTAGAGGAGTTGACTAGACTCGGCACTCGGGGTCGCGGGTTCAAATACCCAATGTGACCCCTCCGAGGTAAGGCCTCTGAATCTGGACTCTCACTGTACCACAGAAACCGCTTGCACTTCGGGTGGGCCAGCCCAATACGAACTCCACTAATCTACCGAATTGCGCGGTAGGGATGCGTCGGATGAAGGCCCGGTTCCCATAAGAACACCGAAGCTGATCGGCGGGTCTCTCTGAGACTTTCGTATTGCCACTTTTTGCCGTCGGTTTTGTCAACCCCGGGAAAGAAGGCAATACGATAGGGAGTGCGAGAGAGACAGAGCGACGAAAGCGACTCGGCGGTGCCCTGGCGGTGCGGCCTTGGAGATGCTCATTGGCCTTAACGATGCAAGGGCAGAACGGCGGCGAGGCGGCGCTACGCATGCCGTGCTCTGTCTCTCTCGCACCCGCATGGGACGCTCCACGCGTGCGAGAGAGACAGACGCCTCCCACTCAGCCTGCAGTTTGCCGCGACCAATTCGGCGAATCCATCAAGGCGAGGGAAAACAGCCATTAATTTTCGCATCATCATGAGCGCCCTCATCCCCGGCTCAGATAAAAAGGGAGCTTGTTTCGGGAATAGCGCGTCTCGTCTCAGAGACAGAGAGGGAGAGAGGGGGGGGGGGCACGAGTCGGAAGGACGAAGGGTCCTTAAGTGGAGCGGCAGTGGGTCAGGTCGGCACCACTCACTGTCATCCACGCAAATCAAGCCGGGAGTCGAGGGGCACCGCCAGGGCATGGCGACGCAGCGACGCGGGCGACGACGCAGCGACCCGGGCCGCCTGAGGCCGCTCTGTCTCTCTCGCACCCCCGCGGGACGCCCCATGGGTGCGACAGAGGCAGAGCGACGCCAGGGCACTGTTCGAAATCGACATGAGAGGCAGCCGGTCTGCGACCCGCACGCGCGCACTGCATTTCCAAGTGCACTGTCATTTGGTTAAAATTTAACATTTTTTGCCATTTCCTTGGATTTACAGCGCGCCGCTCTCCCGAGGCCGAGGCAGGGGCAGGCAGTGTTTTGGTGCGAGCCACGGCAGGGCACGGCGTTACCGCCTCTGGCATCCGTCACTCCGAGTCACTCTGAATAACTTGATTGAATGGAGAGCTCGGCCCAGCGGCCTTTCAGCAACACCCCCTCCCGCTCCCCCCCCCTTCCCGTCTCCCCCTCCCCTCCCCGTAGTGCTTTCACGTCAGGATGTTGCAGCCCCGTCCACGCCCCGCGAGCCCTGCCCGCCCTGCCCGCCCTGCCCCAGCGTTCCATCCGCTGTCCGAGTATAACAGTATTGGGGTCACGTGCGCCATCTTGCCCGCCCCGCCCCGCCCCGCCCCGCCCCGCCCCGCCCCGCCCCGCCCCGCCCCGCCCCGCCCCGCCCCGCCCCGCCCCGCCCTTGCAGCGCCCCTGCCCTTACCGTCCCCTTCCCCTTGAACTATTTAAGGGTTGAGTGCATCGACGCTGCGCTACGCTGCACCGCGTCGCGGCGCGGTCGAGCTTAGCGGGCTTGCCTATCAGCACCTCGCCGATAGAGCGCCTTGGAAATAGAACGACGCCGGGGAAACGTCAAAAAGAGTGACTTCAACTGAACGTGTGACCCCACCAATGGATCGCTCTCCGAACGAGGAATCCATTGGTGGGGTCACACGTTCGGTTCGAGTCCCGTTTAGCGACTCTGGGGCTCTGCACGCGTCTTCGGCCGCCTGCCGCGCCTCACCTCTGAAGATCTCGCCGAGGTAGAAGATGACGGCGTCGATGCCGCTGAGCTGCATGAAGGTCATGAGCCCCATGACGATGAAGAAGGCCTTGCCGGTGGGCGTCCGGCACGCCACGTGGTCCACCACCTTCCGCAGGGCCGACTTCATGTCGTCGCCGGCCACGGCCACGGCCGGCGTGGCCGTCAGCCCCTGCGACGCGCCGCACTCGGCCGCCGCCACCTCCTTGTCCGAGACCAGCCCGTTGGCCACGCCGGGGACGCCGTTGGGGTGGCCGTTGGCGTGGGGGCCGCCGCCCTGCGCGCCCGACTCCACGATGGAGCGGATGCGCGCCAGCTCCAGCTGGATCTCGGTGTCGTCCGCGCGCCGCACTGCAACACAACAACAACAACAACGCGCTCAAAACAAAAACAAAACATACAAACGGCAGAAGCGGTTCGGAGTTTGACTCACTCGCGTTCAAATCACCAATACGGTTTAAAGATCATTCGTCTATGCATGTCGGAGGTTCTGAAGGACAGTACACTCCAAACCGCCGCAAATGAGTCAACTTGCGAACGCTTTTTGCGCTTAAAGTACAATTAAAGACAAAAAGTAATAAGAGCAGTTTTCTAAAATACTAAGTACACAACAAGATACCATTCAAAAGCGACCAGGACCACCAGACCACCACACCCCCAGAGCGTGCACCGTTCATGCAACCAACCAGAGACCGACGACAACGCAGCCAGTCCGTCCACCTCTTCACAGACCTCGGCTCTCGAAGGCAGGACTTCAGTTTCGGAGCGCCTTGTGATGTTTCCTGTTTGCGGAGTGACCAGCCCCCATGCACCCTCGGCGTCAACTCCCTCAGGTGTGCATTCAACGAAGATGAGCTCTGTATCGCGATTCCGTTGCTTTTTCTCGGACGTGACCCGTAAAGTGAACACGAACGCATGCAAAACGTAAATTTTCACTCTGACTCTGAACACTTTTTTTTAGCCGCATTCAGATTGGAGTGGATTACTCTACGCAACTATGGCTTTCAATTCTACTACCTGCCCACTACACTACGCAACAACTACTACTGCGCCAGGCAGGGCACCGCCTTGCTAAGTGGCACCCCCAGCGTCCACCGCCCCCTCGATCGGCGCGCGTTCGGCGCAATCTCGACCGGCCGTTGAACCGGCCTGCGTCCAGAGGGCGGTGCCTCGGCGGGGTCCTCGAGGAGGCGGTGAACCCCGATCCGGCGAGCCAACCACCCCGCACCAGGTGAACCGGGCGGCTCACAGTGGGCCAGAAGACCGGTGGAGGCGGACAAAACTCTAGACGCGTTTTGAGCCCCAGAGTCGCTAAACGGGCCTCGGACCGTGCGTGTGACCCCACCAATGGATTGCTCTCCGAACGAGGAATCCATTGGTGGGGTTACACGTTCGGTTCGAGTATCATTTAGCGACTCTGGAGCTCAAAACGCGTCCGGGACTTTGCCCGCCTCCACCGGTCTTCTGGCCCACTGTGGGGCTCCACTACACTCGCAGGGCCTCCAGACAAGGCAACCCCAGTGTAGGCCACACTGACACCAACACGGCCACATCAGTTCGACTGAACGATTGTCCCTACTTTAGAAGACGCGGTATCTCGTCAAGTTTACACGTGTGGTTTGGCGGAGTCATTTCTTTGGCCGCTACTCCTGCCGCCCGCGAGATACGGTATCTTACAAAGAGGAAACTGGCCGTCGGGGAAGGAGGCCTTGCGAATCGCCTGCGAGTGAAACGCCTTCCGGTGCGCCTCACGTCACGTGCTTGTCACGTCACGTCTGTGTCACCCCCGTGTCACGTCTGCGTCACACAGTGAGCCAGAAGACCGGTGGAGGCGTTCAATATTCCGGACACGTTTTGAGCTCCAGAGCCGCTAAATGGGACTCGAACCGAACGTGTGACCCCACCAATGGATTGCTCTCCGAACGAGGAGTCCATTGGTGGGGTCACACGTTCGCTTCGAGTCCTGTTTAGCGACTCTGGAGCTCAAAACGCGTCTAGAGTTTCGGCCGCCTGCGCCGGTCTTCTGGCCCACTGTATCACTCCCGGGTAGCCAAGTCACTTCCTGTTACGTGCGCGTCCCTGCCGCCCGTACGAAACTAGAAGCACCTCCAGAGGGATGCGAGCTCGCGACAAGACACTGGGAGATACCTTTCACTACCGGGGCGGGGTGCGCCATGGGGTGCGCCATGGGGTGCGCCATGGGGTGCGCCATGGGGTGCGCCATGGGGTGCGCCCCTGGGGCCCCGTGGGGCTTGCGGGCGTGCCTGTCGGCGTGCCACCCCGGGGCCCCCGCCGCGGTCCGGACCAACTGCGCCGCGACCCTCCTCAGCAAGTCCAAGTCCCTCGTGGTGCCACGACAGTTGGCGGTGGTGGTGACCGTGGTGACGGTGCAAGCGGTGTCCTGGTGCTGCTTACCCCTCAGCCATCGCAGCGCGTTCTCGCTCTTCTCGGGCTTGCCGTCAGCCAGTAGGTACGTGGGGGACTCGGGCATGAAGAGGAAGGCGACGGCCAGCACGGGGCTGGTGGCGGCGCAGATGGCCGACAGCCACAGCGCGTCGAAGGCCGCCCCCAGGCAGTACACCACAAGGATGCCCGTCGTCAGCATCATGTCCAGGTACACGCCCAGCGCGCCCCGCACCTTGTCCTCGGCGATCTCGTTGGTGTAGAGCGGCACGGCCACCGTGGTGGCGCCCACCGCCAGCCCGCAGATCAGGCGGCCCGCGTACAGCATCCACACCTGCGGCAGAGCGAGCACACTGTAGGGAACTCACAGTGGATCAGCCAGAAGACCGGTGCCGGCGGTCGAAACCCCGGACGCGTTTTGAGCGCCAGAGTCGCTAAATGGACTCGAACGGAACGTGTGATCCCACCAATGGATTGCTCTCCGAACGAGGAGTCCATTGGTGGGGTCACACGTTCGGTTCGAGTCCTGTTTAGCGACTCTGAAGCGCAAACGCGTCTAGAGTTTTGGCCGCCGGCGCCGGTGTCCCGGCCAGGGCATAGAAACGACGGAGGCAGTGTGCGGTGGAACAATGCGCTTTGTAGGTTTTACGATATTCTGACGGTCTGGTCGTCGCAGCCGATGCTCCTAGTTCCTGCAGGCTGGTCCCGTCGCTCTGTCTCTCTCGCACCCCTACGGGCCGCCCCATGTGTGCGAGAGAGACAGCGGCAGCCTGCTGGCGGGCCAGGTCGGCGCCAGCCCGCGTTCATCCTCTTGCGCCATGTATTCTTACGCTATCGCACGCCAAGAGACGCGAAGAGACGCGAACCGGCCGGCGGCAGCGTGCACTCCTGTCTCTCTCGCACTCATGGGGCGTCCCGCTAGGGTGCGAGAGAGACAGCGACGAATGTCACTGCTCCGGAACCAGCCTGCAGACGGCGCACAGTGGGCCAGAAGACCGGTGGAGGCGGTGGATCACGTCACAAGCGTTGTTAATTGCGCCTACCTTCACCCGATAAGCTACCCTCCCAATCGAATGCATGCGGCCGAAACTCTAGACGCGTTTTGAGCTCCTGAGCCGCTAAGCAGGACTCGAACCGAACGTGTGACCCCACCAACGAATTGTTCTTCGAACGAGGAATCCATTGGTGGGGTCACACGTTCCGTTCGAGTCCTGCTTAGCGACGCTGGAGCTCAAAACGCGTTCTTGGCCGCCTCCACCGCTCTGTCTGGCGGCCTGGCGGCCAGGTCGAGGCCGCCGCCGACTATGTCTGTCAGCTGACGGCGTGTCGCCGGGTAGGGTTCAACCAACACGGTCTTGTTGTTCTTGAGCAAACTGCAGCGCATCGCCGGTATGGAGGGGAGCGTCGGGTGCAGCGGCTTCGAGGCATGCGAAAGCCGGGCGCTCAGTGGTCCAGAAGACCGGTGGAGGCGGCCAAAACTCTAAACACGTTTTGAGCTCCAGAGTCGCTAAATGGAACTCGAACCGAACGCGTGACGCCACCAATGGATTGCTCCTCGAACGAGGAATCCATTTGGTGGGGTCACACGTTCGGTTCGAGTCCCATTTAGTGATTCTGGAGCTCAACACGCGTCTAGAGTTTTGGCCGCCTCCACCGGTCTTCTGGCCCACTGTGCGCGAGTGCGACGGAGACGGAGCACAGCGCGAAACGGCTGTTCAGAATCAGCGTGCAGGGCTGGGAGGCTGCGGAGGCTGGGAGGCCCCCGTAGACCTCTCGCCGCCGCGCCGCGCCTCGCCCCGCCGGTTTCAGCCGGTTCCATCCACCAAGATTACGGGGTAGACGTGGAAGAGCGGAGCACGTCAGTCAGCACCTCCGGAAGAGAAGAGCCGAGATCTCTGGCGAGATTTGCCTCCCTCGCTGCAGTGCCTTTGCAGTGCCTTTGCAGTGCAGGCACGCGCCGGGAACGTCAGCGTTCTACCCTTATCGCCTCGGCCGGCCGCTTTGGGGATCCCGCCTCGCCCCGTGCACACTTATAGCAGTCTGCGTGCAAGTAACAGTGGGCCAGAAGACCGGTGGACGCGGCCTAAACGCTAGACGCGTTTTGAGCTCCAGAGTCGCTAAGCAGGACTCGAACCGAACATGTGACTCCACCAATGGATTCCTCGTTCGGAGAGCAATCCATTGGTGGGGTCACACGTTCGGTTCGAGTCCCATTTAGCGACTCTAGAGCTCAAAACGCGTCCGGGATTTTGCCTGCTTCCCTTGAGTTGCACCACTTCGAGCAACAACATTCCGCTGCCGCCAAGGAATCGTAACTCGTCGCGTCCTTGACCCCCACACCGTTTGGCCCACTCGGCACTGAGTTGGTTTGGCGAAGCGCGGAGCGCAACGCAGGGAAAACACACAGAAAAGCGTTTCCGACCCAGATGGGAGTTGAACCCGCGCCAGGGCCTCGGCCGGGGCAGTGGCAAGCAAGCCACTGGCAGGCCGCTGCAAGGCCACGGGACACCCCCTCCACCCTGTGACACCTCAAGTGCACGGCCGGCCGCCGAAAAATAAACGACCCGCCGCGAGCGGGCGTCGAACCTCGGTCAACCAACCCCCGTTTTTCTCGACGCAGCGGATGCCAGGTAGCCGGTGTTTCCAAAACGGTCACCCTGCCAAGTCCTGGCCACGCCACACGATGCTTAAGTTAGACGAGCGTACTCACGTCAGCCTTCGTGTCGACCCACAGCGCGGCCACGATGAGCCCCCAGCCCAGGATGAAGGGCAGGGACAGCGAGAGCAGGAACCTCTTCCGGCCGAAGCGGTCCGTGAGGCAGCCCGCCGGCACGGCGCCCAGCAGCGCGCCCAGCAGCGCCAGCGAGCCCACCCAGGACTCCTGGTCGTTGGTGAGGTTGAGGCCCGGCAGCGCGGGCGACGTCCAGCCCAGCACCAGTCCCGCCACCAAGGTCGTGTGGTTGGCTGCGGACAACACAAAGGGTCAGGGAAGCAGGAGGCGGTCAAGATCCCGGACGCGTTTTCAGCTCCAGAGTCGCTGAACAGGACTCGAACCGAACGTATGACCCCACCAATCGTTTGCTCTCCGAACGAGGAATCCATTGGTGGGTTCACACTTCTCAAGATGCGCCAAGAGTTGCCAACCTCAAAACATTCGTTTTGGACCAACAATAAGCAGAACGAGTAGAGCAGATGATGACGTCATCATGGACGGCATGGACGGCATTGTGGAGGCAGCGCACTGCTCCGGCGGATGGGTTTAATTGGAACAAGTGCTGCTCGGGCTGCGCTCAGTGTTGCCACACAAGTAGGCAAAAACTCCCACGATGCACCAGTGTCGAGAGGGTTGCCAACCTTCCGCTTCCTAGGCAACTTCCCGAGCCAAAATCCCAGGTATTGCCTAGGACGAGGTTGGCAGCCCCTCTGGTGCATCGCGGGAATTTTCGCCCACTTATGTGGCAACACTGCGCTGGGCTGCTGATGGACCCTGGCGGTTGTCGCAACGCGGCGCGCCTTTATTGCATTTCCCGCGTAATCTCTGGCCGAGAAATTTTCCGTCGCGACCGCCTTGTAACTAAACGGGGCATGCGTCTATATATTTATCGAACGAATCGTCGCCTTCCGCTTGCAGCACCGCTGAAATAATTTTGCGCAAACTCCTGTTAAAAAAAAAATAAATTTAAGGCATTTTTATGGCGCACCCCTAGCCGAATCAAACATTCCTTCTCTTTCATTTTTCACGGCGTCTAAACCCACCCACCGCGGAAGCACTCGCTCGCGCGGGTAAAAAGCGGAATGGAGCAGTGTTTGAACCCGCGTCATCCGTCGGTGAAGACAGCAATCAGCGACGTTCGGATCAACAAACCTCCCCACTCCTTAGCCGGCGAGGACTGGTTTTAGAACGGCCTGCTTAGCCCTTTCTGCTCCCCGTACTTTACACAGGGCAAACTCAAAGACTACCGCCTACACTGTGAGAGGTTAGCGCCAGCCCTTTCTCTGGACTGTCTTTTGGCAAAGAGTTTAAAGGGAACTCTGTGAATCAATGGCTCATGAAATCAACCAAATTGGCCCACTTTACTATTTTAACAGTCGTGCCAACTCCAAATACGAGCAAACATTTTCGCTCGCGCTGGGAGAGGGGAGGTCGCCGCCTGAGTCAACTTCGGGCAGCTCCCGAAATACGCAACCGGCGTCGAAATGGTCATGAAATGGTGATCTCGAGACGAGGCTGGAGAGGCTCGTCCACCACGGATCCGTCACCCGACCGAGTTAACTTTTATGGGCAATTTAGCGACCAGCGTCAAATGGGGCACTTCGGGGAAGAGCCAGAATGGGAGCCCGGGAGTAATCAGGAATTTTAAAAAGTGGAGTATGAAATGTCATTCAATCAAAATAGTCTTAAATTTTCTACTTTTACGGGCAGTTTCGCGACCAGCGTCAAATGGGGCATTTCAGAGAAGAGCCAAAAGGGGAGCTGAGAAGTAATCTGACACTTTGAAATCTCCAACACTCGAAAAAGCCTGAAATTTTCTATCAGTGCACGGCCACTTCCTCGGGTTCTCCGCACTCCGTATCAGATTTAGCGATTCCTCGTTTCTCCTTGACTTCCGTCCCGGCTCGATGTTACAGTGCCTACGTCGGCTACACTCACCAAGAATGGCAGCAAGGTGTTGGCGCCATTTTTTCATCAACATGTCGCCGGAGGTGGCCCTGAAGGGTTGGCCCTGAAGGGTTGGCCCTGAAGGGTTTGCCCTGAAGGGTTTGCCCTAGTGCCCAGAAGGGACGCCCTGAGGGGTGGCCCGCGCTAGGCTCCGCACGCCGTCAAATGGACGTGCAGCAACACGGCGTGCACGGAGTCTGGGGCGAGCTGCCTGCAGCCGTCTGGAAAAGAGGAAAAGAAACACAGGTTCAATACAGCATTTCCCTGACACAGATTTCCCGAGATTTTCTCGGTTCCAGGAACGACTTTTTTGGGTGCGTACTCGAGCGCAGGTGAAATGCGATGCAGTACTGCCCTACTGCGTAACCAACCCGATCCCCGACCCGGCTCCGCCCGCGGACCAGTGGTCTCGGCAGGGCTCGCGGATTTGCTCGGCTCGTCAGCTTCCACTCGGGAGTCCTTCGTGGCACGCGTCCAAGGTGGATGCTGTCCTTGTCGCACCCCCGCCCCGCCGCCGGTGCAGCCGAGAGAGAGATGCATCTTGGGCGCTACGGGGGACAGTGCCCCCCCGGCCCCCAGACGTAGGGAAAGACAGGGGACAGGGGAAGAAGAAGAAGAAGAAGAAGAAGAAGAAGAAAGAAGGAGGAGAGGAGGAGGAGGAGGAGGAGGAGGAGGAGGAGGAGGAGGAGGGATGGATGGACAGAGAGAATCCACACACGCACACAAAACCACGTGCAGCACACATTCGTAATGGGTCCGCTAGGCCAGCAATGGGCAATTGCCCCCCCCCCCCTGTGTGTGTGTGTGTGTGTGGGTGTGTGTGTGTGTGTGGTGCAAGAGTGACTCCGAGTGACTCATCATGGGTGGAAGCAAGACGCGCTGTTGGAAGCTCGGTGAATGTGGATGTGAATGAGAGGTTGTTGACGCCCTGGCCAAGGCGGCCGACGCGGCCCGGTCGAGTCGGCCTGCCCTGTGTGACGTCACGGAGCGTTTCAAGGCCGGCCCGGGCAGGGCGAACGCGTCTGATATCTCTTCAAGACCTATTATGCGGTCGGGGAGGTGGGTGGGAAGGCGGCCTGGTGGGAAGGCGGGAAGGCGGGCGGGTGGGAAGGCGGGAAGGCGGGCGGGTGGGAAGGCGGGAAGGCGGGAAGGTGGGAAGGCGGGAAGGCGGGAAGGTGGGAAGGCGGGAAGGCGGGAAGGCGGGAAGGTGGGAAGGCGGGAAGGCGGGCTGGTGGGAAGGTGGGAAGACGGGCAGACGATCGCCAGAGGGAAGTCCTCTTGGTTGCGCAAAAGGCCTTGTCAGGCGATATAGTCGAATCAAGGCATCCCCCAATGGCATAATGGACTAATTCGAGCCACGCTGAAGCGGCAAATCAGTCCCACGGCAACGGTAACCTAACCTTAAGCAGTTGTAACCAGATGCGCATGGGATTCGCAACGGGGGTGGGTACCGAGGGGAAATTTTTCACAACTTTCGCCGTGGAGGGAACTTAAATCGTGCGTATGGTAAGGCGCTGGAACACAAACTGTGCGGTGGAGTCCGAACAAAAGCTCCTCCTTGGCAGAGACATGGGCAGGACGCTAACTGAATTGCACGGGGCTTTGCACAGATCAAAACACGGCGGTCCTTCGGGCGAAAAGTGAGTGAGCTTTGACATGCTGGCATGGAGTACCTGTCCTGGTCCGCCGAACCGCCCCGCTGGATGCAACAGGTGCAGGCTCGGCTCCTAGTGGAGGCCCCGCCGGGCAGCAGGCTGGTGCGCTCATCATGCTGCCTCCACGCCGTCCACGCCACGCATCCGGACCGAACCGGACGGCACCCTGGCCAAGGTGCTGGCCCACTGCTTGATGGTCACCGAGATCGTCACCGCACTGCACACTACCACTTCACCGCCACACTTCACCGCACAACGCCGCTTCACCGCCGCGCTTCACCATGGCGATCGCGTCTCGCGTGTTCAACTCGCGGCGAGGCCCGCGGCGTGGCTTCGCGGCTTCGCGGCTTTGCTCCTCGATGCTCGCCGACGTCCAGTCCGCAGCCGAGTCCGCCTGGCCCGCCCCGTCGGGACGGCCAGGCGGCCAGGCAGGCAGGCAGGCAGGCAGGCAGGCAGGCAGGCAGGCAGCCGGGCAGCCAGGCAGGCAGGCAGGCAGGCAGCGGGCACCGCTTTGGCAACCACCAGTCGCAGCAGCCGCAGCAACAGTTTGGCGCCCCGCTACGCCCCGCCACCCTCAAGCGCAGCGCGACGACGGCGGAGAGAGAGAGAGGGAGAGACTTTGGCACTATTATTAATCCCTTTGCTCTCTCTCTCTCTCTCTCTCTCTCTCTCTCTCTCTCTCTCTCTCTCTCTCTCTCTCTCTCTCTCTCTCTCTCTCTCTCTCTCTCTCTCTCTCTCTCCTCTCCCTCCCCCGGCTGTCTGTGATTCCTCCCCTCACACCTCAGGTTAACGTTCGCGCCGCGGAACGTTCTCTCATCCATTCATACGTTCCCCCGTCGGCGTGTCCGCGACCGGCGCGTCGTGCCTACACGAGAAAAAAGGCGTAAAAACCACGCCCTGGAGGCGTGACAGTCTTTTGGGGCGTAATACGGTAAGGACGGTAAGGAAAGTAAGATTTTGCCGAGAAGTTCCTGGACTAATTCACAACCCTTCCGGGGGTACAAATGGATTCACGCCATTCCAGATGGACCACTGCGTGACCGTCGACGGATCATCTGCAGTGCCCCTTTCCCTTTCAGCCTGGTTCCGCCCCCGACAGGATGAGGGAGGGGGAGGGGGCGAGTGCCACCAGACTGGCGCGCCGCCAGCGAGTCCACCCAAAGACAGACAACTGCAGAGGAAGTGGCCCAAGTTACGTCCGTGTGGTCTGAGCACGCTGAGGTTAGCGATCTTCAGAAGCTGCGCCCCGCCCGCCCCGCCCCGCCCCGCCCCGCCCGCCCCGCCCCGCCCGCCGAGAGCATCCGAGGAAAAACGTTAACGCTAAGACAGGGTGGAGCCGTCCCTGATTTCGACTCGAGGTGCGTTCGAAGGCCTTTCTCCGTTCCGCTCGAGCGGCCGGAAGGCGGTCGACGCCTGGGCGGCGTTCTCGAACGCACCCCTGCGTTCTGACGTGCCAACGGGCTGCGTGGGCGCGTTCCAAACGGCGCTCGGTTCCACTTGACCGGCCGGAAGGAGGAAGACGCCCCGCTGGCCTTTTTGAACGCACCCCTGCGTTCTGACGTGCCAACGGGCTGCGTGGGCGCGTTCCAAACGGCGCTCGGTTCCACTTGACCGGCCGGAAGGAGGAAGACGCCCCGCTGGCCTTTTTGAACGCACCCCTGCGTTCTGACGTGCCAACGGGCTGCGTGGGCGCGTTCCAAACGGCGCTCGGGTCCACTTGACCGGCCGGAAGGAGGAAGACGCCCCGCTGGCCTTTTTGAACGCACCCCTGCGTTCTGACGTGCCAACGGGCTGCGTGGGCGCGTTCCAAACGGCGCTCGGTTCCACTTGACCGGCCGGAAGGAGGAAGACGCCCCGCTGGCCTTTTTGAACGCACCCCTGCGTTCTGACGTGCCAACGGGCTGCGTGGGCGCGTTCCAAACGGCGCTCGGTTCCACTTGACCGGCCGGAAGGAGGAAGACGCCCCGCTGGCCTTTTTGAACGCACCCCTGCGTTCTGACGTGCCAACGGGCTGCGTGGGCGCGTTCCAAACGGCGCTCGGTTCCACTTGACCGGCCGGAAGGAGGAAGACGCCCCGCTGGCCTTTTTGAACGCACCCCTGCGTTCTGACGTGCCAACGGGCTGCGTGGGCGCGTTCCAAACGGCGCTCGGTTCCACTTGACCGGCCGGAAGGAGGAAGACGCCCCGCTGGCCTTTTTGAACGCACCCCTGCGTTCTGACGTGCCAACGGGCTGCGTGGGCGCGTTCCAAACGGCGCTCGGTTCCACTTGACCGGCCGGAAGGAGGAAGACGCCCCGCTGGCCTTTTTGAACGCACCCCTGCCTTTGAAGTGCGGCATCCTGGTGGGCGGCCCTCACCACGTGGATCAATCGGGTGGTCCGCGTTTTGAGCTCCAGAGTCGCTAAATGGGACTCGCACCGAACGTGTGACCCCACCAATGGATTGCTCGTGCAACGAGGTCCATTGGTGGGGTCACACGTTCGGTTCGAGCCCCATTTAGCGACTCTGGAGCTCAAAACGCGTCGAGAGTTTTCGGCCGCTTCCACCGGTCTTTTCGCCCACTGTGCGCTGCTGTGACGTCGGGTTCCGAAATGACAGAGTTTCTGTTTCGGAATGCCCTGTGTTGCACGCGTCAGAGCTTTCGTCTGCAAAGTACGCCTGCGTGGGATAAGTTACACAAAAGTTTGGAAAGTAGTGAAAGTGAGTAAATCCCCCGTTGGACGAGTCGGACTTCACGCCGCACGTGTGGGTGGGCACGCGCCACTGCCTCGCCCTGTCTCTCTCGCACCCCGGCGGGACGCCCCGTGAGCGCGAGAGAGACAGGGCGGCAACGTCTGGAATGAGTCTGGTGGTGGTCGGGGCGGGTAGCGCCACTGCCTCGCCTGTCTCTCGCACCCCGGCGGGACGCCCCGTGAGCGCGAGAGAGACAGGCGGCAACGTCTGGAATGAGTCTGGTTGGTTCGGGGCGGGTAGGCACGCTCAGCTTTCTCTCGACCCCGGCGGGAAAAGCCCAGGGAAAGGGGAAAGGGGAAACGTTGGGAGTCGGTTGGGGTGGGGGGAGCGCCACTGCCTCGCCCTGTCTCTCTCGCACCCCGGCGGGACGCCCCGTGAGCGCGAGAGAGACAGGGCGGCAACGTCTGGAATGAGTCTGGTGGTGGTCGGGGCGGGTAGCGCCACTGCCTCGCCCTGTCTCTCTCGCACCCCGGCGGGACGCCCCGTGAGCGCGAGAGAGACAGGGCGACAACGTCTGGAATGAGTCTGGTGGTGGTCGGGGCGGGTAGCGCCACTGCCTCGCCCTGTCTCTCTCGCACCCGGCGGGACGCCCCGTGAGCGCGAGAGAGACAGGGCGGCAACGTCTGGAATGAGTCTGGTGGTGGTCGGGGCGGGTAGCGCCACTGCCTCGCCCTGTCTCTCTCGCACCCCGGCGGGACGCCCCGTGAGCGCGAGAGAGACAGGGCGGCAACGTCTGGAATGAGTCTGGTGGTGGTCGGGGCGGGTAGCGCCACTGCCTCGCCCTGTCTCTCTCGCACCCCGGCGGGACGCCCCGTGAGCGCGAGAGAGACAGG